GGATAAGGAAGGGGGCGTAAGTGCTGGTATAGTTTAGCAGCAGTGGCAGGCGCCTAGGTGCTATAATGCGTTCTTATATCAAATTAGCAGCGAAAGACAACCAAGGAACGTACTATGTTAGTAATATGTAAACACACTATTATGAAGATGCTGATGATAGCAATTAGATAAGGTTGTTATGATTCAAGGTGTAATCGCTAGCCGGTTGATGTTAAAAGCGGATAGGTCTTCAATCTTCCGGAGATGGTCAACACGGCGGTGGTCAGCACAATTGGTCTATCACAATATCTATCGACACAACAAAGGCCAGCACAAAAGATCTACACAATATCAGTCAACACAGCAACACAGCAGAGGTCAGCACAAAAGGTCTATACGCGGCTTGCCCAGATGGTGGAGGCCCAAGTGGTAGAAGATGGTAAGGCCGTTCAGGACACAACAAGCCTTGTTGCAGGCACTGCTGGACGATAGAAATCAGCTGGAACGCCGGGACTGGAAAGATGGAAAACCAGGGAGGGCCAGGAGATCAGCCGGAGCGACGGGGCCAGAGCGATGGGAAGCCAGCGGGCCCAGGACTCAGCACCTCCAGGTCGCGATGTGGTGGCGCGGCGACGCCGGCAAGCAGCCAAGATGGTCAGAGGCCAGTCAAGCCGCATCCAATCCAGCCCGAGCGGCGAGGGGAGGGAGCGCATTCAAGCCGGTAATGGCGGCGGCCGAGATGCTCTACCTCTCGGGGGACGAGCTGCTCGGCGATGGTAATCCTCGACTCCCCGCCGGCCGAAATGGACGTAGTAGCTGGTTTTTTTTATGTTGTTATGTAGCGGCTTCGGCCCTAGCAATAAGCCCTAACTCGCTCCGACACCCCACGGAGGGGAGAGCGAGGCCCGATGGTGAGGGCAGCACGGCTCACACAGCCAGGGCCCGGCTCAAGCGATCCCCGCGGCGATCCAGCTGGTGTAGGCCCCCCAATGGAGGTTCCACTCGCGGCGCTCGCGGTGGCAGCTTCGGCGCCGGCTGTTAGAAAGGCTCCAACCAGGCTCCAACTCACTCTTTCCCAGCGCACCGCAGCGGGAGCAGGGCGATAATCGGCGGCGGTGGCTCACTTCCTCTCAGCCTCCTGGCCGCCTAGCAGCGGTTTGCTTCCTCTCGGCCTCCTGGTCGCCGCAATGACAACAGTGTCCTCGGCCTGGAACTTGGCGATGTACTTGTTGCCTCGGGTCACTTCGGAATCGTTGAGGGGCCTGAAGCGACTTTGATGTTGCACTCCGCCGGGTCCGCCATCTTAGGCCTCAGCCGCCTCCTCCTCCTCTTCTTCCCTCAGCGTCCAGTCAGGCCCAGCGCCCGCCTCGCCCCGACGCCAGGCAACCTCTCCCCGGACTGAGGAGCCGGGCCAGTGTCTGAAGAATGGCGGAGGGCTCCCGCTCCGCCCAGGCCTCCTCTTCCTCCTCCTCCTCCTGCACTCACTTCCTTTTTCCTAACTAGGTAGGTAGGTAGGTAGGTAGGTAGGTAGATCGATCAGGAGGACTGCTGGGAGTTGCAGTCCAAGAATAGGTAGAAAAGGAAGAAAGGGGAGAAAGAGGAAGGGAAAGAAAAGGGATGGAGAAAGGGAAGAGGAAGAGAAGGAAGAAGAAAAGAAAAAAGGGAAGGAAGGAGAAAAAGAAAGAAGGAGAGAAAGAGGGAGGGAAGGTTGGCCACAGCAACGAGTGGCGGGTACAGCTAGTATCTATATAAATAAAAAATGTAATGTTCGTTTGTGGGGTTAACATAACTCAAAAACTACTGGATGAATTGACACCAAATTTGGACACAATACACTTACCAGGCCAACGAGTGACCAACACTCATAAAACACTGAAAAACACAGCCAACGAGACTTTAAAAGCCAAAACCCCCCAAAAATTACATTACAAAGTATGCACAAAACCACATATTTAAACAACATACATTTTCAGATTTGGTTTCAACCTGCTTTCTGAAAAAGCAATTAAAGCAATTAGTATAAAATTAGATACTAATTTTTGGTATCTCTAGCAAATACACATATATACACTCACATATATATACACAAAACAAATATACACAGACTGGGCCACAGCAGTGCGTGGCAGGGAACAGATAGTGTGTGTGTATATATATAGATATATAGATATAATTATATAGCATGTCAAAAGCAAATTGAGAATATACTGCATGTCGCTTCTGGTGTGAGAGAATTGGTAGTCTGTAAGGACACTGCCCAGGGGGCATCCAAATGTGTTACCATCCTGTGAGAGGTTTCTCTCATGTCTCTGCATGGGAAGCTGGGGCTGACAGATGGGAGCTCTCCCCATCTTGTGAATTCAAACCACTGACATTCAGGTCTTCAGTTCAGCCGGCACAAGGGTTTCACTCGTGCCACTGCGGCTCCTGACATTATATGAATTCAAGGCAAAAGACCATCTGTTTTTAATGTGATGTCTGTATATCTGTACAGCACATAACAATATCTGTACTGGCAGAAATTGGCCTGCATACGATGTTAATCTAATTCGTCTAGCCTGCGTGCTTCCACATTTGGTCATAAATTGTCAGATAGTAGCACTACCTCTTATTCCAGAGCCATCCTCCACTCATTTTAGAGCTGATTAATGATATTCAAGTGAGCAAATGCAATTTGAGGTACCAGTGTACAGATATTCTAGGGCCCTTGTGTCTTTAATTATTGTAAGACTGCCGCTTACTTTTCATAACTTCCATTACTGAATCAGTAAGATGTTGGATCGATCATTAAGCAGAACAGGAAGTGACAAGAAGTCAAGGACCTGCAGTGGCACCAAAGGTTTTGAACTCTAGATCTAGTCATACCTAAACTCTGGCCAACTTGACAGGGACTTGTGAAATTAGGAGAGCAACACTGGACAATAACTGCCCCACCCATTATTTAAAGCATTATCCTACAGCCCCCCTTTTTATAGTTCCACGTCAGTAAGCAATTGTGGCTGAAATCTCCACTTTGGTACTAGAATTGCTGCTGTTGTGAATGGCAGTATCAGAAGTGCAGCTATTTCCCAGCCACCACTTGCCTCTCCCACAACTTCAGGCAGCAAGATGTCGTTTGGCACCAATAGATATGAAGCCAAAAACACCATAGCAAGGTATATTCACAAAAGGAAAGACTATATTCTTTAAAGGAGACATGGATATATATGGTAGACAATCAATTTCAACCCGATGAATTTAGTCACGCCCAATGCCCTTGAGAAACCAATAACCAATAACTGGAAATCACTTGCAGGCTCCAGTTTTTCTCTGTGTGTGCTGAGGCTTCTGTATGTTGTTGTCACAGATACTTTCACAAGAAACAATCTGTTTTCAGAGATTTCCATTCCAAAAATATCTGAATTATTTAAGGGGTCTTCAAGGTGGCAAAAACAAAGCAGGGGATTTGGACACATCTCACTCCTAGAGTAAAAACTGCATGTTGGGATAAATCCAGATGGTGTTGCATAACATGCATAATTCAGGCTGCCAGTCTGCTACCAAGCACAATTCAAAGACCACACCTGGAATATTGTGTCCAATTCTGGGCACCAATTCTGGGCACCACAATTCAAGAGAGATATTGACAAGCTGGAATGTGTCCAGAGGGGAGCGACTAAAATGATAAAAGGCCTGGAGAACAAGCCCTATGAGGAGCGGCTTAAGGAGCTGGGCATGTTTAGCCTGAAGAAGAGAAGGCTGAGAGGGGATAGGATAGCCATGTATAAATATGTGAGAGGAAGCCACAGGGAGGAGGGAGCAAGCTTGTTTTCTGCTTCCCTGGAGACTAGGATGCGGAACAATGGCTTCAAACTACAAGAGGAGATTCCATCTGAACATGAGGAAGAACTTCCTGACTGTGAGAGCTATTCAGCAGTGGAACTCTCTGCCCTGGAGTGTGGTGGAGGCTCCTTCTTTGGAAGCTTTTAAACAGAGGCTGGATGGCCATCTGTCAGGGGTGATTTGAATGCAATATTCCTGCTTCTTGGCAGGGGGTTGGACTGGATGGCCCATGAGGTCTCTTCCAACTCTTTGATTCTATGGTTTTATGAAAGTACTGGCCTTAGCCTATAAAGCCCTAAACGGTTCTGGCCCAGCATACCTGACTGAAGGTATCTCTCCCTGTGAACTATCTTGGAGCTTAAGATCATTGGAGGAGGCCCTGCTCTTGGTCCCACCTCCTTCACAGGTCCAACTGGTGGAGAGGAGAAACAGGGCCTTCTCAGTAGTGGTCCCTCGGCTGTGGAATTCCCTCCCTAGGGATATTAGATCAGACCCCTCCCTCCCGACCTTCCGTAAGTAAAAATGTGGCTTTTTGGAGATTGCAATAGATAAATATGGAATTATGTGCAATGACCATTGGAATGGCACAGACTATTGACTTTGGATAATGCGGTTGAACAGTGAAGGTATTGTTTTAAATGTTTTAATGTATTTTATAATGCTATTTAAATGTTTTAATTGTACACTGTGGTGTTGGAGGAAAGTTCTGAGAGTGCCTTGGACTGCGAGAAGATCCAACCAGTCCATCCTCCAGGAAATAAAGCCCGGCTGCTCATTGGAGGGAAGGATACTAGAGACAAAGTTGAAGTACTTTGGCCACATCATGAGGAGACAGGAAAGCCTAGAGAAGACAATTATGCTGGAGAAAGTAGAAGGTAAAAGCAAGGGCAAGATGGATGGATGGCATCCTTGAAGTGACTGGACTGACCTTGAAGGAGCTGGGGGTGGTGACGGCTGACAGGGAGCTCTGGCGTGGGCTGATCCATGAGGTCACGAGGAGTCGGAGACGACTGAACAAATGAACAACAACAACAATTGTATATTGTTTTTGGAAGGCACTGAACATCTGCCTAATGTAAGCCGCCTTGAGTACCTACTCCCCCCCCCCCCCCCGGGGTGGAGAAAGGTGGGGTAGAAACATAAATAAATTCATGATAAGAACCTGTGTTTCAGAACAAACACTGCATTAACTGAGAACATGTGGTTGGTACTGTTTTATTGTCCAATAATACTGATTTAAAATATTTACACTCCTACTTTTATAAATCCACAGTTCAAACACTCATACCTATGGCTTTTTTCATTTCCTCTCTCCCAGTCTTTCAAGCGCAAAATCTTTCTGTAAACTGTCTAAAAAAACAAAACCTCCCCCTTTAAATAATAAAACAGTAGCCTGATGCTTTGAATAGACACAATTACTTTTGAATTTTATTAAGATTTCTTTTTTTAAAATATAAAATGTACTTTTTTTCTAAAAATAAAAATCTGGTGATAAGATGCCAGTGCAATCTTTCCGCCAACTCATACTTTGTGGCAAATATAGCTGAATTTTCCTATTATAATTGGCCCTTTGGGGGAAAAATGCCAGTGTTTGAATCTATGACCTTTCCCCTTATCTACATTTATTTTAATGCAAAATAAAAACCAACAAAAATAAAAACCTGGCAACTAACAGTTATAAGCAAAATTACAAAGCACTACAAAGCAATTATCTACATTGTCTCTTTTGCGTTAGCTTTGTCAACATCCTAAAAGCTTTGTGAAAGTTTAATCATTTGGATATGAGAAGGCACAAGGGGTCTTTTTTCATTTTAAGGAACCTTAGCGCAGACTATCCCCATTCCCAGTCAATTTCTAGGCTTAGAAGACAACGTTTAAACTTAAGAACAGAAAGACTGCCAAGTATTAAGAGAGCAAGGGGAATTAGCAGCCTGAGTAAATCACCCAATTGTTATTAAGGTAATCCATGTGACTCTTGGGACCTTTCCATTTCAAACATTAAACTCATAGTCTGAAAGAAAAACAGAACTTATTTCAGAAGTCTCTCACAAGGACAAACAACATAACCTAGCAGTACACTCTTGCAAAACTTGACAATTAAAACTCCACATAGAGCTGTCTATCTCTAGAAAATATTTTGTTCTGTGATATTATGGGGCATTTTTAAAGCACAAGGGAGGCTTAATCAAGGGCAGTTTAATCAAATGGCCTAACTTTGGTCCGCCTGTCCACTTCTCTAAGGGCATCAATACAAGGAAGCCATCCACTGGTGGTGCAAACAAAAACAAAAACAATTAACAAAAATAATTTGGTATTACATTTTTTTTTTCAAATCACAGGCAACGCAGTCAACATTTGCTAGGTTTCCACTGTTTCCTCTTTTAAATTCTCTACTGGTTGTGTGTCTAACCCATCAGGTCCTTTAGGTTCTAATTCACCGTGTTCCCCGTGTCCTGATTGTACTTCTTCTAGATTCGTTTCTTCTATAAGCTGCGCTTGAACCTCTTCCATGTGTAACTGGTCCACCTGTTCCACATCTAACTCCTCCATGTGGACTTCGGTGCTGGCCTCAGTCTGAATGTGCTCCACTTCCAAGTAGCTAATCTCGACCTGCTCTTGGAGCTCTGCTATTTGCGCAGTTTTCACTTGATTATTTGGTATCAAGTCTGGGTGCACTTGCTCAATTGTCACTTGCGCTGGATCCACCTGGACCTGAATGACGGGCAACATATGGACTTGTTCCACCTGCTCTATGATGGTCATGGGAGCCACGGGGTCACTCTCCGTGGGAAGGACGTCCTCCGTTATTATCCGTTCTGAAATGTTGTGCATCTCTTGCAGGTGCCTCCGCAGTTCACTGCCTTGCATAAACCACAAGTCACATAAAGTACAGTGGTTGGGCTTGTCACCTGTATGTGTTACTAGGTGATCCTTGAATTGCTCCCAGCTGTTAAATATACTGTTGCAGACCTGGAATAAAAAATACACAATGCCTTTAGGAACAGTGACTGAAATTCATTATATATATGCTGATAGTATTTCTTTACTAAAGATCGCAAAATCAAAGTTCACAGCAATAACTTTCACAACCTAAGGGTCAACTGGCAATAAACAAGCTGATAGCTGATACCAAGAGCAACTGCACAGGACCTCCACAAAAGGAGAAACCCACAACTAAATAAATATTAATAATCATCATCATACCATTATATTTTAACCTGATACATTAACTCTCTAGGAATCTCTAGGTCCTCCATGAACTCTATGTCAGATATTGACCATAAATTCCTATAGAGAACATTCTAATATTAAAGTTGTAAAAGTCAAATCTTCAAATGTGGGGTCCAAATGCGTCAATCACAGTATTTAATTTATGGGAATTGCTTTTTTCTCAAAAGAGGGAACTGATTAGTTGTAATGCCTTTAGTTGTCTTGACTGCTACAAAATCCATAGTAAATACTAGAAAGTAAGTTAGTTTGAGAACCCCTGATCTAGAGGCAGCGTTTTGAGACCTGCTGACCTGGGTTAACTATATAGGCATTCTGTGAGTCCAAAGTGCATGATAATTACCTAAAATGGTAAGAAGAAGCCCAAAAGGCTCCGAGTTACCTTTCAGGCTGAGAGGTATATAAGTAAATAAACAAATAAACAAATAAATAAGCCTATACAGTCTTCCCTGTTTTTATGTGTTCTCAGAGCAAAAATAGTTTGGTGGTCTACATAGGGACCACCAAACGCAGCACATAAACACGAATCAAGGAACATGAAAGGCACTGCAGACTAATTCAACCAGAGAAGTCAGCCATAATAGAGCACCTGATGAACCAACCTGGACACAGCATATTATTTGAGGACTCAAAAATGCTGGACCACTAACAACTACCATGTCAGACTACATAGAGAAGCCACTGAAATCCACAAGCATGTGGACAATTTCAACAAAAAGGAGGAAACCAAGAAAATGAACACAATTTGGCTACCAGTATTTAAAAACCCTCTAAAATCAGGACAGTAAATAAAGAGCAACACTCAAACAACAGGCGAATTCCAGACAATAATCAATCAAGGCAAGCTAACACCTCTCAACAAAGGATTCCCCAGGCAGCAACTAGTCAGGCTTTGAAGCCACAAGGCCATTAAATGCTAAGGTAGCCAACTGCAACATTCACACTTGCCTCAGATGAGGCTTCTTTCTCCCACCCTGGACATTCCACAGATATATAAACCTCACTTGCCTAGTTTCCAACAGACCTCACAATCTCTGAGGATGCGTGCCATAGATGTGGGTGAAATGCCAAGAGAGAATGCATGGCCATACAGCCCAGAAAACTCACAGCAACCTAGTTTCGAGCAGTTTATTTCCTCCCTATTACTCAAATAGTGAATACAAATTTAGAGAAACATTGCTTAGACGACTGTTACGAGAAGTATTGATTTACAGATCCATGGACCTCATCCATTTTACAGCATTTCACTCTACTAACCAGACATCTTTCATTGGTACTATGAGGTCTTTCAAATCTATTTTATTTCACTTTTCAGATACACTGACCTTAACAACATATAAGCTCTCTTTCATGTGCAGAATTACCAGATGAAGTGCAAAATATAGTTCATCCCTCATGCAAGCAACAGATCCTTGTGAAAGCAATGGCTGCTGAAATTTACTCTTCTACACAACCATCAAATGTCACCGGACAATCCTATGCATGTATCCCAATCAAAATCCATTCCTCTTCATTACGTACCTGACATTCATAAAGTTTCTTCCGTCCCTTTTTAGCACCAGCCTCTGAATGGCATGCTGTCAAGTGACATTTGAGCGTACTGTTCCGGGCAAAAAACTCATGGCAGTTTGGACACTGAAATGGCCTTTCACCTATCAAGACAAAATCAAGTTTTTTTATGTAAAATGCAAACTCCGATCATACTGGACTTCTACTTGGTACCAATAATCAATGTACCTGTTTTAAATTGAATAATATAGTTCTCCCATCAATGAACTTCATACATCCAAATATCACAGAAAGAAAAGAATTAAAATTTAGTTTAAGGACTACTATGTACGGTCTACTGAAGCAGGTCCTACCTTAGGCATTTGAAAAATACAATGGGCCTGTCATACCTGTAGGATCATGATGCACAGATTGAACCCACCACAGATTCAAAGGAATATGTGGCGGGAGAATGCTAGCTGCTCAATTCTGTCTTCAAGGCAACATTATTCCTTTGCAAAGAAAACGCAGCAGCTGGCAGGACTGCTGCCCTATGCCATTTTACATGAACCCCACAGCCTCTATCAGCCTCATAAACAAATGTGTTGTCTCTTATCTTTGTGTTGATCTCCACACATTAAACAAATTCACGCACAGTTGTCTTCACAAACAAATGCATTCACTCTGCAAGGTTTGTATAGAGACTACAAACACATTCTTTAAAATGGCATAGGGCAGTAGAGCAGGTGGAATTCCTCCTCAAGCCAATGTAGTTTCTGAGCAGCCACGAAGTCTGTAAAAGGCTCTTCTTGTTGTTCATTCATTCAGTCGTTTCCGACTCTTTGTGACCTCATGGACCAGCCCACGCCAGAGCTCCCTGTCGGCCATCACCACCCCCAGCTCTTACTTATTTGCACACATTATTGAGGAGGCTCTTACTTGCTCACATTATTTGAGGAGCCCATTGTGTGCAGTCAAACTTAGCTGCCACAGGAGCAAATGCATAAGTGGCACATGGATGCAATGCCAGCCAGGGGACACTCTTCTCCACTGGCATCGCACCCTATTCCTGACCTGGCTCTGCACAGGGTAGCATGCCCAATCCCTTCACTACTAGCAGGAGCATAGAGTCCATGCAAACTGGTGAAAGAATGAGTGAGCCACAGCCTTTGAGTTTTGCCATGAATGTTTTATGGCAATGAAACAAATGCCTTGCCACCACTCAGCTCAAGGAGAGCTTGGGAAAGATGAGACAGCAGAACCAAGTGGTAGCAAGACATTTCTTTTGTTTCTGCAGCCACAAAACATTCACTGCTGAGACTTGAGGGCTGTTCATTCAGCATCAACTTGCAAAGACTCAGTAGTTTTCGTGAACACTGCAATGCTGCTGCTGCTAGTGGTGGATGAGTGTGTTAGGCATGTCTTTCCTCTGCAGAGCTGGCTCAGTAGCAGGGTGGGGATCAGCAATAGCAGTGGGTTCAAGAGCTGTCCATGTTTGTTCTCTTGGCAGTCCAGCTTGGTCAGATGTTCGGTCTTCAACAAACAAAGTCAACCCATTGTTCGCCCTTTCTGAGTTCCCCCCTCAGACACATATTACTCCATTTACTTATCTCACCAGGGTTTACCAATCTTATCCTGTGCATTTGGCGCGCCCACAGTGTTTTTATTTCTCTACTATGTTATTTTGCATTGGTTTATTGTATATTCTGTTATTTCATGTATTTTTGATGCTGTTATTCACTTGATTGTATTTATTTTGCTGTATTGTAATTTTGGTCCTGGCCTCATGTTAGCTGCCCCGAGTCCCCTTTGGGGTGGTGGTGGTGGGGTATAAATAAAAATGATTGTGATTATACGCATGAGCAAGCCTTTGCAGAATAGGCAGCTAGAAGAATTGAAATTTTGGACAGATGGTATGTGGCTTGCGGGGGGGAGGGGGGGTTAGGGAGCACAGTGGTGAGGGATAGATAATATGTATGAGCAGAAAAATAACAGTAGATGTCAAAAGTTAAAAGTATGGTAGATTGAATTGAATAATATGTATCTGCTGTAAAATAAACAATGAAAAAAAGGAAGAAGAAAAAAAACAAATCTCTGTTCTAGCAAGGATCTCTGTCCCTCCCAAGCTATGTTTCAGTGAACCCTTGGGGAGGCGATAAAGTTTCCTCGCTCTTGCAGAGAGTTTCAGACAAAAACAAGACCATCCCCTGCTGTTTCTGTCAAGGTAAAATCCAACACTGTCCAAACACAGTATAATTTATACAAATTTATCCTAAATGCATTTGGAAGCAGATTTTAAGGGTGAGAAGACTGATAAAGGGAGGAAACTTGCTTCCTTATTTTGCTGGCACAATGGCTTCTATAAGGCCGTAACATTATTATTATTATTTTGCGCATTTCTACCCCACCCTTCTCAACCCCCGAGGGGGGGGGGGTACTCAGGGCAGCTTACAAAAGACACAATTTGCCACCACCTCTGGATTCCATCCACAAACCTCTGGAATAGTAGTTTGAGTTTTGTGGGTCTATCTTAAATGACTACTGGATCATTTTCCATTCTAAATGTACGGTTTCAATTTTAAATAGCCGATTCAGTATTTACGGCATACAAACATGTAAACTGAAAATGTGGTTGGCAAACTAAAGTTCATTTCAACAAGCTAGCTTCAGGAACCCTTGTTTGACTTTGTCTTGACTGAAAGTGACCAGATAGTTTTGACCCTTATTTGTTTCTTGACAACACAACAAAGTGTCTCCAAAAAGAGGAGCTTTTCACACAGAGACCTTACTCCTTCTTACATAAGAATAGGAAACATAAGAGCACAAGATTTGTTTTGATTCATTTCTGCTCATGCGGGCAACACTAAATCAAACCACAGAGAAATCCAAAAACCTCAGCTACATCAATTACACAAAAGTTTAGCTAACTCACATTTAGGAGGAAACCGTAGTTACCTGTGTGCTTCCGAATATGTTCCTTAAAATGTCCAAAGTGGTCAAACTGTTTATCACAGTACTGGCAGACGTGTATTTTCTTGCCAGATCTTTGTTTCTTGTTAGCAGCACCTTCATCAAAGTGGTAACAGGTAAGGTGCTGTTTTAACGCACTCTCACGCAAGTACCTTTTGTTGCATAGCTCACACTTGTAACTTTCCATGGTGTGCGTTTTCATGTGTTCTTTAAAGTGGTAAAACGATTTAAATGTACGGTTGCACTTTTCACAGTGGTAAATGTTGTTGACATGTGACAGCTGAAGTTCCATGATCTCAATGCCTTCCACCTGTTTGCCCATCGGATCCGATATGCCATAACATTCTTCTTTAATGTCACTTTTTCGCTCCCCATGGCGAAATTTGCTGGTGATATCCGCCAGAAGAGCCAGAGCAGATTCGTCTGACGTACCCGTGGTCTGTATATATTTTATAGACTGTTCAGTGGAAGCCACCTCCTCAAGCGCCTCAATGTTATTTTCTCCTACTTCAATAGCCCCCTCTGAAATCTCCACCTCAATTTCAACAGGTTCAGATTCTGCACAAGGCAGTGTTTCTGTAATGACATTGGAGGTTTCTGCTATTTTCCGCTTTTTGGCTTTACTGCTATCTTGTGTCTGAAGTGATTCATGCACCAATGAATTTGCTTTCTTCCTAAAAAAAAGCCCATTAAAAACACAGTAAGTATTTTTAAGCAGCTCACTACTAACATGGCTATTAATGCAGGATTTAAAGAAGAGGCCTGACTAGTCTAAGACAGTTACAACTGCTGAAGACATAATAGTCAACTACTTAGAGCCACCTACTTGGAAGCAAATTACAGGCAGCCAAGAAGGATGAAGCGTACATTTGAAACAAAGTGTTGGCGTGTGTATCACATACCCACATAGTTTTGAAAGGTTTAGCTGTGGCCCTGTTAGCAGTAAGCCCAGGTTTCAGTGCACAGGGGGAAGGATTACTGGGTCGCCTTGGTAAATGAGAGGACCTTGGGGGAAACAATGAATTTTGCCCCTAAATTACCCCTAGAAAATATGGGGATAATTTCAGCACTTTTCTGGGCCATTTTTGTTTCTGTCATAGCAGTTTGCAATCAAAAATACCCAAATTGCCCAAAGATGTACCAGTAGATCTAAAAGCTGTTTACATGGGAGAGTTGTAGATCTAGATATTGCTCTACCCATCCATGAATTCTCAACATTTTTACAAAGATTTCAAAAGATTCATATAGCCCTTAGAATCCTGGAAAGCAAACAAGATGAGAAACATCAGGTTGGAACATCAGAAATGAAAAATGATGATTCTCAGATGCCTTCCGAACAGAGTCCCGTGAGAAACCACACTTGCCTGTTTTCAAGAGCCTTAATGGCTTCCAGCATTTGAAGATACTCAGCTGCTTTCCAGACATCATTTGCTTCCTCTTCCCCTTGGACCTTTAACTTGGCTGTGTAGGTGAACTCTATTAAGTGACGAAATGCCATGTTACTTACACCTGAAGGCAAGAGACAAAACAAAACTCTCAACCTTTACACAAACATATTTAGGAGCAGCTAAAAAGCCAGTATGATTCTAGTCAGGATCAATGGGAACAGAAAGTCTAAAGTGAGAGAAATAATGGTACCACTATCTTGTAATTTGGTTAGATCTCACTTGGAATACTACATCCAGTTCTGGGTATTACAGCTCAAGAGAACTACTGACAAGCTGTAACATATCCAGGAGAAGGCGATGGAAATTGTAAAATATTTGGGAGACTTTTCCTGTGAGGAGCAGCTTAGGAAACATCTGGGGTTTTGGCCTGGAGAAGACTGAGTGGACTGATATGATAGCCACATTTAAATATCTGAAGTGATGTCATACTGAAGCATGCTTATTTTCTGTCTCTCTTGAGAATACGACAAGGAGCAGTGGATTCAAACTGCAGGAAAAGAGAGTCCATCTGAATATTAGGAATAACTTCCTGGTGCCAAGAGCTGTTCGGTTGTGGAATACGCTGCCTAGGAATGCGGTAGACTCTTCTTCTTTGGAGGTTTTTAAACAGAGGCTGGATGGCCATATCTCAGGAGTGCTTTGATTGATATGTCTGCACAAGGTAATTAGTTTGGAATGGATGGCTGCTGTGGACTTCCAACTCTACCATTCTATTTTGTTGACAAATATCTAGGTACTAAAAGGTGCCCAGTAGGTCAAGAAGCACATTCAGCATTCTGCCTGCATTAGTGGCAAGTGAAAGAATGACATATGCTCTTGTCTGTTCCTAGAAAATGACAATAAGAGGCACATCTATTCCTTAACACTGTTTACACAAGTGAGAAGACTCCTTGACACAGGGATTATCTAGAACAGATGTAGGCTTATCAGTATTGTATAAGTCATTTGGCATTATTCAACGAGCCTCTATTCATTTTGAACTATCTAACAGTCACGGCAAACTTAAGCTCAGTCAAGTATAATTTTGTTTAAGCAAGTGAGAAGCATTGCTTCTGTTATTTGCAACCAGCAGGTATTAACCGCAATGTTGATAGAAACATTAACCTTTCCCAGCTCTGAACAGAATGCAAAGCAGGATGAAATTACATGCTCACAAAAACTGTTCCTTCCCAAAGAGTAAACATATACCCTAATTGAGCTTGGAGCTAGAGACATGGAGCATAATCTGTCTTTGTAGCTTAGCTGAACTTTGAAGACTCTGTATGACCCCAAAACCTAGTACACAGCTGGGATAGTTAGGTTTATATTCATGTCAATCACTTCTAAGACAAATATTGGAATTTGTTGTTGCTATCTTGGAACAAAGCAGGGAAAGGGACCCTTGCCAATGCTCAAATTTTGTGGTCTTCCATCCACATATATTCACACAATTCAATGTTGGTGCACATTTCAGAAACATGAGAAGTGAATGACTGACATTACCTGCAGCAATACAATATATAACAAGCAGAAACTCAACAAAGCATCTCACAATCACAGTCTAAAAATATGCCTGTTAAAAGTGGATGTACAAATAAAGCACACAACAATTTTCCCCTAGGTCTTCTTTTAGAAGAGTTCTGGATCCAGCTGCTATTACCCAATTACCTTCTATCTCTACTAAAGGCTCCTGAGTAAAGTCCTGGAAGAATCTGTAGAAAAACTGGCTGCAGGCAGCAAGAACTGCTTTGTGAGCTTTAAAGTGGTGACCTAGAAGGAAAGGAAAAAAGCTACATATTAAATCATGTGTACTAGATCTTGATATTAAACCTCACATGCTACATGTTAATGATTGACAGAATTAAAAATCAAGTGCAACAGAGAACATTGACAAAGCAAGAAACAATTTACTGGCTGTCATGCATACATCCCTCCCACATTTTGGAGCAACTAAAATAGCAATACATTATTTGTGGCTTCCACAAAAACACCTGGAGAAAGATGTCTTTCACTACACTTTCAGCAAAAGTAGTGTTTTTAAAAAAATCCTTGGGTTAGTGAGGAAGTCTAGAATTTTGTTTTGAAGAGGACAACCATATTCAGCCATTCAGGAAAAAAAATCACCAGCTATTCTTCAACATATTCCTCTCTCCTTAATTTCCGATTGTCAAGTTTACAGCATCAGTGAATATGAATCTGCTAAAACATGGGGAGCTTTCCAAATACTTCTCCCATTGGAAAAGTTGGGGATTTATCGAATTTTCACAACTTTATTCCCAGGTAAATAAGAGTATTCAGTTACCCCAGAATACAATTGTGTAAAAAAAGAACGTCTGACCATACTACAACGCATATGATAACCCTGCAATCTCAAATATTACAGAAAAAAACCAATATAGCGCAGCTCATAGTCAGTTTCCTGTAAGTGTAAGTCATACTGGCATATCTTTTGAACCCAGCCAGAAATTCTGAATGTCCAATTCCACAAACTTTAACATACAGGTCTCCTGACATCACAGCTTCATCTCTCTAGACGTGAGATAACAAGCCAGAAACGTTTCATTCATGTAAACTAGAAATCAAATGTTGCACACACAAAAGGTGATTCTACTTGCTTATTGCATGCTTCCCTGTCTTTTTTATTCATTTTTTTTTAAAAAACTTTGACAAAGATTAATATAATCCTTGGAATCCTGGAAAGCAAATGAGAAACCCAGGACTCCTTTGAATTTTTTACTAGTTATAAACCCCTACACAGAGGCAGTAGCTGAGAAAAAGTTGCACAGGTGATTTGTGACAAACATCCTTTTCGATAATAAAGCCAATATTAAACATGATGTCCAACATAATCTACATAAAATGAGAGGTTTAGGAGAACCAATTTAAAAATGCTTTGCTTTAACTGGATCACCTATTTTGGAAGGAGGAGAAGAAAATTACTTGCAATATGGAATGCTTATGACATCAGTAATGATACCACCTGTCTTTTATGGATCAAATCAGGGAACAACAGCAAATTAAAATGCAACACATAAAGTCAATTTAAAACAGCATGTAAGACATATATATATATTAAACTAATCAGTCCATTCTTTAAAATTCAAATGTAAAAAAATCTGGATAGGCCTAAATATGACACTGGCCTTTAATGCCATTTTAAATTCAGACAGTGTATTCCTTGGTCAAAGCTCTTCTGACACAGGTTGTTCCAATGTCTAGGGCAGTTGTTTTCAAACTGTGCTGCACTGGGCGCTTAAGAGCACAGTGGCTGGCTGGTCTCTTCCTTCCCATCAATCACTTCTCTTCTGCACAAGCGCGATGATGGCAGGAAGCTCTTTCTCACAAGAAGGAAAGGGAGACTAGAAGATATACATATGTGCCAGGACTGACGTTGGATTCTAATGCTGCCCAAGCGCACAGTGATCTCAGCTACTCCTGCTCATGCTTCTCCAGCCACCGTCATGACTTTTTAAATTATTGTTTCCCTTACAGGTAATACATAATACAATACACTATATAAACATTTCTCAATCATAATAGATACCATAACCTAACGCACTCTCTCTCTCTCTCTCTCTCTCTATAGATATATATATATATAAACATTTCTTGTGGCTCCATGAAAAACATTTAATTCAAAAAGGGCTCCACGGCTGAAAAACGTTTGAGAACACCTGGTCTTGGGGCAGCTGAAAACATATTCTCTGGGTGCCAGTTGCTGACTGGAGTAAATGTCCCTCAGGGAATGTCGGAGTGACAACATGAGGCGACGATGCCATATGTAATCTTGACCCACATCATGCAATGCTGTAAAGGTGACAATCAACACTTTGCACCTTGCCCTAATTAGCAGTCAGTGGAGTGATTTTAATATGGCCATTCCTAGATGTACCAGTAACCAATCTAGGAAGGAGTGCAGCTGGATAGAAGTTTTTACACCTGAGTTGTCATTTTTGAATAAGAATGTAAACTCCCAGGCTACACACACAGTATTTTGGGGGGGAGTGCAGCCCTATCCAGAACTAACTGACAAAACTCCAAAACCAGACTAGAACTCTTGACAGCAGGCACATTCATCTTGTCTGTTGAACTAAAAGGAATTGTAGCTTATTTTGCAAATAAAAGTCTAACTCAAGTCCTTCAAAGGTTCCAAAATATTTCTAATGGAGGGATGGGAAACACCTCAAATGACACCAAACTTGACCAATTATAAAAAGGCACTGAATTAAAGATAACAGGAAGCCATATGGTACACCCAGAGCCATGCTTTGAAATACCCCCGGCCCCCCCCCCCCCCCCCCGGCAAGAAATAGGACACATGAAACACATAAGAACAGGAAACATATTCTTGTCAGTTCCTGGATACATTTTTGGTTGATTTAGGGATAAAATGGAGCAGAAAATCAGACTCTATCTTCTATTTTAACCCCCCCCCCCTCCCCACACACACACTTTCTTTTCAGTTGTAAATTTTAGGGAAGGGCTGGTATTTTTGTTTTGTTTTTTGACAGGTATGAGCTACTCTAGGAGACAATATTTATCTGAAGTGTAAGATCAACTACAAGAAATGAACCAAAGATATGTCAAAGCATGGCTCTGGGTGTACCATATGGCTTCCTGTTATCTTTAATTCAGTGCCTTTTTATAATTGGTCAAGTTAGAACAGCCATTGATATAAGTAATTGCTTATAAAACAGTATAAGTTGAATTGGAAAGGATATTTCTTCCCAAAGGAGTATTTTCAATGTCTTTATTTAAAGAAAAACTGGAAATTTACAAAAAAAAACTTACACATATGTTTATTCTAATAGTGGTCCTTCTGAATAGTTTTTTTTTTCTGGCAGTAGCTGGTACGCTATTGCCTGCATTGGTATTAGATTCAAAAAAAGCTTGGAGCAATTGGAAAATATTTGCAATCTGATATTATTTCAAGTCAATCCATTTTGACCTCTGTGGTAGAAATCTGGTTGACAGGATATACACATATAAAATATGATGAAGGGCACATCTATACACACTGGACCCTTAGTATACACTAGATTCCACTGTCATTAATTAATATTAGCTGCTCATGTCACAAAACAAGCATTCTACAATATCTGTGATTCATTTGTGCAGCCCAAGCCTATGCATAGTTATTTAAAATGAAACACACTTGCTTCCAGACAGTGGTCAATAACTATGTAACATGGAGCCACTAAGTTAAATAAACCATTCTCTCAACCCATTTCAGCTTAACAGAGTAATTTCACTAAGTAGGAGGAGGAGAAATTATGTCTAGTAAAACACTGGCAGTCACCATACTAAGCTCTTACGTTGTTTCCAGTTAAAGGACATTATGTTAATTCTTGGGTAAGCAAACCCTTGGCTACATTTGACAACGCCCTTCTAAGTTGCTCTAATCATGGTAGCATCACCTGTATCGCATAATTGATTGTGAAGCCATAGTGACAGAAAGAATAGACACTGATCTAAGGAGGACCTCAGAAATGAAAACTCCTTGTCCACTCATTGTCAGGGAGGCCTGAATCATGAAGTAGCTCCCTCAGCCAAAATACAGACTGCCCCCCATCCTTCCTTTCCAAACCAAATAATCTCGCTCAAAACCACTGACTTTGGTTTAACTCTTCCAGAGACTAGGCAAAATATGGTTTTATGCATACATAAGACCCTGTCTGCGTCACTTACATACCATCCACAATCAGAGTGATGTCTGTGAACTGATTTTGCTCCCGTTGTTCATTCAATCTGTCCAAGATTACTTTGTAATGTTCTGGAAACTCCTGAATGCATTCCATTGTCTCTTCAGCTTCCATGGCTAATAGATTTGCCTAGGAGAGATGATCAGCCAGAGTGAGACTTCCAAATGTGAGTAATTTGCATGGGCATTTTCATGGGGGTGGGTATCCAGAGGAATACACACACACATATAACCTATAGTAAGGAGTAGCATTAGGAAGCACTCAGTACTATACCCATCAACTTACAATAGCAACCCTTTTGCCCCTACCTAGAAAATGCAATACAAAAATAAAGCACAGATGAAAACAATATGAAGGTGAACATTCAGGAAGGAAGACAATTCCACTCACACCAGAATGAAGGATGAAATAGGAACAATGTAGAACGGTGAAGAGGGCTGATGGAGGAAAAAAACTATTTACAGGCTGTATTTTATTGTGCTTTCATGTAGAGATTCTGCTAGTTTTGGAGTGCGGTGCCATCTATACACAGATGACACCCAACTCTTCTTTTCACTTAGTTACAAGGAAGCAGTTCCTGTGCTAAACCGGTGCCTGGCAGCTGTAATGGACTGGATGAGAGCAAACAAAATGAAGCTTAATCCAGACAAGGCAGAGGTGCTCCCAGTCACTTGTAAGACAGATCTGGGAATAGGGAGTCAGCCTCTGTTAGATGGGGTTACACTCCCCCTGAAAACGCAGATTTGCAGTTTGGGAGTACTCCTGGATTCGGCTCTGAACCTAGAGGCTCATATGATACGAGTTTTTAAAGCCATTTTAATGTATTTGCTGTATTTTAATTCTGTTTTTACTTGTTTTTTTTACCTTTTGTATTGATCTTTTTAAACTATTTAATGTGGATAGATGTTAGCTGCCCTGGGTCCCCATGGGAAGAAAGGCTGGATATAAATAAAGATAATAATAGTAGTAGTAGTTAGCGCTCTATTGCAGAAATTTGAAAAATGTAAAGTTTGTGGGATTTCATACAGATTACAAGTTGATTTTCATGCCTTCCATCAATTCAGACTAATAAGGAAGCTAACAAAAAGTAAAGCAACATGAGCTTTTATTTATCTGGCCAAACTATGACTAAAGAAGCAGAGTGATAACAAAAAAAAAATGAATTATGCATTTAGAAGTTTTTGTCCAATAGTGAGCCCAGTCAATGAATGAACAGATGTTGGGGTTAAAAACTAAGGAGGCACTAGGGGTGCCATGCAAGGATGACTAAAATGCACACAACTTCCAAAAATACTTGAGCATCCCTTATCTGCAATGCTTGAGATCAGAAGTATTCTGGAATGCCTATATTTGCATACACATATATAAGCAGGTCTCTCAGGAATTGGACCCAAGCCTATACAGTACATACAACCCTTTTATGTTTCATATGGCTTGAATGTAATACAATATTTACTTGTCTGTTGTGGTATTTAATGTTTGCCATTTTGTCTTGTTGTTGGTAACAACAACAAGACAACAGTCTGAGTCCCCTTGGGGAGGTAGGGTGGGTTACAAATTAAGTAACCCATCCTATCCCCAGAGCAACGCACTCTGCCTTGGTGTGGTGGAGGCCCTTTCTTTGGAGGCTTTTGAACAGAGGCTGGATGGCCATCTGTGTTTGTGTGCGTGTGGGGGTGCTTTGAATGCAATTTCCTTGCTTCTTGGCAGGGGATTGGACTGGATAGCCCTCAAGGTCTCTTCAAACTCTAGGATTCTATGATATGGCAATGTGGGCTCAGGGCCTTTCTAGACAGCCATAAAGGTAAAGGTTTCCCTGACATTAAGCCTTGTCATGTCCAACTCTGGGGGGTGGTGCTTATATTAATTTCTAAGCTGAAGAGCCGGCGTTGTCCATCGACACCTCCAAGGTCATGTGACCAGCATGAATGCATGGAGTACAATTACCTTCCTGCAGGTACCTATTGATCTATTCACATTTGCATATTTTTGAACTACTAGGTTGGCAGAAGCTGGACCTAACAGCGGGAGCTCACCTCGCTCCCTGGATTCGAACTGCCTACCTTTTGGTCAACAAGTTAAGCAGCTCAGTGGTTTTTAACACACTGTGCTACCAGGGTGGTGGTGAGATAGGATGGATTACAAATAAAACATTATTATCATTATTATTATTATTATATACCAGTGTGGGCTCTTCCAGACAGCCATATAACCCTGAATATCAAGGCAGAAAAATCCCACAATATCTGCTTTTAACTGGGGGCTCTTCCACACAGCCCTATATCCCAAAACATCATGGCAGAAAACCCCACATTATGTGAGTGTGGATTCAGATAACCCAGTTCAAAGCAGATATTGTGGGATTGTCGAAGGCTTTCATGGCCAGAATCACTGGGTTGTTGTAGGTTTCTTCGGGCTATATGGCCATGTTCTAGAGGCATTCTCTCCTGACGTTTCACCTGCATCTATGGCAAGCATCCTCAGAGGACCTCACTACCTCTGAGGATGCTTGCCATAGATGCAGGCGAAACGTCAGGAGAGAATGCCTCTAGAACATGGCCATATAGCCTGAAAAAACCTACAACAACCCAATATTTTATTTTCTTCTAGAACAGGGGTCCTCAAACTAAGGCCCGAGGGTCGGATGTGGCCCTCCAAGGTAATTTACCCGGCCCTAGCTCAGGGTCAACCTAAGTTTGAAACGACTTGAAAGCACACAACAACAACAATCCTATTTCATCAGCCAAAAGCAGGCCCACACTTCTCATTGAAATACTAATAAGTTTATATTTCTTAACATTGTTCTTCATTTTAATTACTGTATTGTTTTTAAGTGTTATTTGCACTACAAATAAGATATGTGCAGTGTGCATAGGAATTCATTCTTCTTTTTTTTCCAAATTATAATCCGGCCCTCCACAGTTTGAGGGACAGTGAACTGGCTCTCTGTTTAAAAAGTTTGAGGACCCCTGTTCTAGAGGCATTCTCTCCTGACGTTTCGACTGCATCTATGGCAAGCATCCTGAGCTAGAGGCATTCTCTCCTGACGTTTTGCCTGCATCTACGGCAAGCATAGACATCTGAGGATGCTTGCCATAGATGCAGGCGAAACATCAGTAGAGAATGCCTCTAGAACATGGCCATATAGCCTGAAGAAACCTACAACAACCCAGATATTTTGGGATTTTCTGCCTTGATATTCTGGATGTGTGGAAGGGCCTTGGGTTATTTGATCCCACACTGGCATATATTCCAGTTGAAAGCAGAAACTGTGGATGATTGAAATGCCTTGATGTTCTGGGTGATATGTCTGTGTGGATTTCTGAACACTAAGTAAGGGATGCTCAATCTGCACTCTGTTAATATACATATAACTAATAGGAAATACAACTCTCGTTTATAAGATTTAATAAACATAATGACGATGACGCTTCAGGGTGACAAAGCTGGGTATAGTCCTGGCATGGGCAGACTTGGGCCCTCCCTCCAGGTGCTTTGGACTTCAACTCCCACCATTCCTCACAGCCTCAGGCCCTTTCCTTTACCCCCTCGGCCGCTTAAGCGAATGGTGGGAGTTGAAGTCCAAAGCACCTGGAGGGAGGGCCCAAGTCTGCCCATGCCTAGTATAGTAACTGACTAAATACAAAAAGAACAACGGCTCGCCAGGGCAGATTTCCCACCTGTCCTCCGTCTTGGGCCTCAAGCGGTGCCTGTCCACTGGCCGGAAAGAGAGGGCCATGCCTTCGGAGGAGGAGGAGCAACTGCCGGCCGGGCTTCCCTCGCTAAACGGGTTCAACACGACTACTTGGCTAAAGGGAAGGAGGCGAAGCAGGCCTCTCGGGGCCAGGCGGGGCGCCCGGACGCCTCTCGGTCCGGGGAAAGGAGCCGCCGCTGGGTCGCCCGAGCGGGGCCCCAACAGGCCGACCCCCCAGCATTTGGTACGCGGCGGACGAGCCTCTTACATACCAAACGCTGGACGCCCTCCTCCTCTCGCCTCAGCTCGGCTCTCCTTCCTACCTCGCGAGCCGTGCCATCGCGAGACTTGGGGCACGCCGCGGGAAGCCTATAGGAGGCCGCGGAATACTCTCGCGGGAGGGCTCCCTCTCGCGAGATTTCCCTCTTTGATGAAGATGTCGATTTTTTTATGACGTAAGGTTCGCATCATGTAGTCTCGCCCAGTCGCGAGAGCCCCCACCCTCTCTCTCGCTCTGAAATCCCGCGATAGGAGGATCCTCTCACGAGATTCTGATAGAAAGGCAAGCATTCACTGGGTTGGGGAGCCCCCGGTGGCGAAGTGGGTTAAACCCCTGTCCGGACTGGACTTCTTAAATTTATTTATCATGTTAGGGGCAACCAGACCATTGTATTACATTTCTAATAGAACAGAACAGACAGACAGACAAAACACAAAGTTTGCAAGCTTGACATTCCATTAAATGTCCTTTGACCAGTATCTGGCCCCTTGGAGTGCCTCTGGTGTTGCTGCAATAAGGTCCTCCATTGTGCATGTGGCAGGGCTCAGGGTGCATTGCAGCAGGTGATCTGTAGTTTGCTCTTCTCCGCACTCGCATGTCGTGGATTCCACTTTGTAGCCCCATTTCTTCATTGGCTCTGCATCTCGTGGTGCCAGAGCGCAGTCTGTTCAGCGCCTTCCAAGTCGCCCAGTCCTCTGTGTGCCCAGGGGAGAGTCTCTCATTTGGTATCAGCCATTGGTTGAGGTTCTGGGTTTGAGCCTGCCATTTTTGGACTCTCGCTTGCTGAGGTGTTCCAGCGAGTGCCTCTGTAGATCTTAGAAAACTACTTCGAGATTTGAGTCGTTGGTGTGCTGGCTGATACCCAAATGGGGTGGGCCAGAGATGTCACTGCCTTGGTCCTTTCAGTATTGGCTGCTACTTCCCGGCGGATGTCAGGTGTTGCAATACCAGCTAAGCAGTGTAATTTCTCCAGTGGTGTAGGGTGTAGACACCCCATGATAATGCGGCATGTATCACTAAGAGCCACATCCACTGTTTTAGCGTGATGAGATGTGTTCCACACTGGGCATGCATACTTAGCAGCAGAGTAGCAAAGTGCAAGGGCAGATGTCATTACTGTGTCTGGTTGTGATCCCCAGGTTGTGCCAGTCAGCTTTCGTATGATATTGTTTCTAGCACCGACCTTTTGCTTGATATTCAGGCAGTGCTTCTTGTAGGTCAGAGCACGGTCCAGGGTAACTCCCAGGTATTTGGGTGCGCTGCAATGCTTCAGTGGGATTCCTTCTCAGGTAATCCTCAGGGCTCGGGATGCTTGTCTGTACTTAAGATGAAAAGCACACATCTGTAATTCGCTCCAATTATTAATCTGGCTGCTGAGCATAGAACCATTTGGAGTTTCCGGGCCGTCTTCAAGGGTAGCCCCACGTAGAGTGCATTGCAATAATCCAGTCTAGAGGAAACTAAAGGGTGGTTCACCATGGTCAAGTCAGTCTTCATGAGATATGGTTGCAGCTGTGCTAAAGCCCTCCTGGCCACTGCAGACACCTGCGCATCAAAGCGTCAATGCTGAATCCAGGAGGACCCCCAAGCTGCAGACCTATGACTTCAGGGGGAGTGCAACCCCATCGTCCAGCACAGGTTGCCACCTAATACCCCGCTCAGACAAACGACTGACATGGAGGACCTTGGTCTTGTTGGGAGGTTTATTAGGGTTTAGGCTAAGAGTTTGGATAAGAGGTTAGGCTTAGGGTTACGGTACGGTTCAGGTTTAGGGTAAGGGTTAGGGTTTCACCATTAAAGAACTTTTACACTCCTTCTATCTTATCTGCCTCCAGCCTGGCTTGCATTAGCTAAGTTTCTCTTGCGCAGTGCTCCCGAAGGAGTGATGCGGCATCTCCCTAATGCTCGGAGCCTCCGGACCCAGCTATCATACTATTACCGAGGTCTGTTGGAAACTAAGCAAGTGGGGTTTATATATCTGTAGAATAATGTCCGGGGTGGGAGAAATAACTTGTCTGTTTGAGTCAAGTGTGAATGTTGCAATTTGCCACCTTGATTAGCATTTAATGGCCTTGCAGTTTCAAGGTCTGGCTGCATCCTGCCTGGGGGTGGATCCAGACAGCCTGTTACCCCAGGAAAATCTGCGATAATAGTATGATAGCTGGGTCCGTGAGCTCTGAGCGTTACGCTGCTTCTGCTTCGCTCCTTCGGGAGCGCTGTTTGCGCAACGCAGAATATAACACAAATATTATAGAAGGAATGTAAGAGTTCTTTAATGGTAAAACTCATACTGGAACCCTAAACCTTACCCTAACCCTAAGCCTAACCTCTAACCCTTACCCTACCCCTAAACCTAACCCTAAACCTTATCCTAACCCTCCCCTCCTTTCTCTTTGGACCATGTGGTCCCTTCTCTTATTCACAACCGCTGTTGCGGAATGTGTGTAACACTTGAAGCTTCCAGACCTAGCAATCATACTATCACCAAATCTGCATTTAACTAACGCGGATTTTCCTGGGGGCCTGTTCACATCCCCCCCCCCAGAAAGTGCGTGCTTTTTGGGGTGGGTGTCCAGACGTTCTCCTGGGACTAGCCCAGGAGAACGTCTGGAGGCTCTACCCTCCTCCCCTGAAGCCACCAGACCCTTTTGAAAAGTTTAAAAAAACTTACCCGGTCTCTAGTATACCCTTGGAGCTTTTTTCCCATGTGTAGAAATGATGCACCGGGAGAGCGGGCGGGGGTGGGGTGGGGAGGGAAATCGCTAATAAATATGTGTGTGTGTGCGTAACAAAATTATTTACGACATTTCTACCCTGCCTTTCCCACCCCAGAGGGGATTCAAGGCGGCTTTACATACAGGCAACAATTCGATGCCCTAAAACACAATGTACATTTAAATAAATATTAAAATAAAATTTAAAAGTACATTAAAACAATTAAGACATTTAAAAACAGTACATGAAGCGTTAAACACGTAATCCAATGCTCATTGCGCATTGTTCCAAGTATATCAGATAAGTGTTAGCTAAGCCTATGCGGTGTCTCCCTGTGTCATGATGTTGTTTTTTTAGCATCCCCTTTTTCTATTTTGAAAGCCTGGCAACCCTACAAAATAGCTTGGATTCCAACAAAAGAAATGGAATTAGTTAGCATTCTGCACTTGCAGGCAGCTTGCTTTGATTGAGCATGCAAATAAGAGACTTATTTGTGACAAGGCTGGAATCGTCTGTGAGAAAAAAAGCCATATAATGTAGTACAGCTTAATTTTGAGTAAATAACGTTTGGGCAACACTCATCATTCTGTGATCTTGAACTGCCCCCTTGAGGCAAAGCATATCAGTACGCTAACTGCAGTTGAAGTTGTTTGTGGTATCAGGACTTTTTCTCTCCCACTTTAAAATCACCCTTAACGCAAAGGAGTGCAAGGGCCATGTATCTTTTGGAAGTTGTGAAGAAATTGTTGCAGCTGCAGTCTTCCTTTAACTCTTATTATTTACTAAACACAGCACACTCTCTTTTTCTCTAACAACAAACAATAAAAATACACTACCAAAACAACACCTATATATTAAAACCTACAAACTACAAATAACTTCCCTTCTGGCTTATAACCCATATGGTATTCTGGTTACATTTTTACTATAAACAATTTGCTACTTATCTTCTGTCAAATCTTCCTTAAAATTAACCAAAGATTAATCAACATTGCCAATTTAATCAACTTAGCATGTTCATTCTGCTTCAGAATTTATTTCCATTTCTGTGCACAGAGAAGCCTCATGAGTATAATCAATATTGCAGAATTCTTCTATGTTGCCTTTCTGATTGCTCTTCCTCCTTTCCCAGTAAATTAAGATCAAGATTCTGCTGAAATTTTTACAATACTCTCCAACATCTTGTGAAACTGATACACAAAATCTTACCACTACACATGGCAGTTGAGATATGTCAGTAAACAATTTACATAAAATGTGTCTGATGTCACCATATTCTCATTTCAGGGGCATAAATAGTATTGAAAGGGAGCCTTGCAAAGCTTTCGTTCTCATGAAACCTCCATATATTTTTAAATACTGTATTTTTTCCCAACTTACATAGAAATCCTCTCAATGTGAATACAGAAACCCTACTCCCACACATCTCAAGCCCCGTATTATCCCTAAATAGTTCGGTTTTCTCAAAATAGTGTCAGGAAGTTTTTTTAATCATGTCAGAAGCAAATTGAGAAACTGCAAGTCGCTTCTGGTGTGAGAGAATTAGCCATCTGCATAGATGTTGCCCAGGGAATGCCTGAATGTGTTACCATCCTGCTGACAGGCTTCTCTCATGTCCCCGCAAGCTAGAGCTGACAGACGGGAGCTCAGCCCATCTCGTTGATTCAAACCGCCAACCTTCAGGTCAGCAGTTCAGTCAGCACAAGAGTTTAACCCACTGCGCCACCACGACTCCTCACGTCAGGAAGTGATATGACATCAGGGTTTTTTTTTTTTTCATTTTAGAAGGGACTGCAAAGGAAACCAGGTATTTGAGTTCAATATATATGTGTGTATATAGCTCGGAAGCCAATGAGTAAAGGACTTGGAGGAATTTGGTTATCCATTCCTGTCCTAGATTATAAACTGGGAGTAAAGAGACTCAAGCAAGTTGCATTTTTTGGAGTACAGCTTTTTAGAAGCTGCTTTGGCCTTTCAAGCTGCAGTTCAGGGGTAATAGTCAAAAATTAACTTTCCTAAACTCATTAAAAGGGTTGGAAGTGAATCTGAGAGTCAGCCAGGAACCAAGTGTTGAGAAACTAAAATATCTAAAATCAATGTTATCAGAGTTTGCAGAGTTTGTAGGCTGCTCTAGGTTTCATTCAATGTTAGACTACACAGAGTAGCCAGAGGTCCTCTGAAGAACAACCTACGTGGTTTCAGATTCAGTGACTTGAATGATGTTAAAACAGGTTTAAAATCGTGGGTCACAAAGCAAAAGCCTATTTTTTT